GGGGCGGGGCCCGGGGCTGGGGCTGCGCTGCGGGGCGGGCGCGGGCAGGCCCGGCAGGGACCTGGGGCGCGCTCTGAGGCCGGGGGCTGATAACCCCGGCCCTGGCGAAAAGGGCGTCATTTCCTGAAAGTTCTGGCCGCCTCCTTATCTCGGTAGGGACAGTGAACGTGGGGGTTTGTCGTGGCAGTGTTAACAGGGCGGATCTTTCCCCCGGTGCCTCCGGCCCCGTCGCTGCCCTTTAGTGCATTCTTGCTCCTGAAGAACTTCCCGGCCCCTGGTAGAGCTGAGAGATGCCGGGAGCAGCAGCCGGGCTGGCCGCAGTACAGAGCCTTCCCCGGACTGGTGCTGCGTCCTGACCGAAAAAGAGGAGGTAACTGTTCACACAGCAGATGCTAAGTGCTGCATCACCCAAGTTTGGTTCTGGCTCCTAAAGGTTGTGTCCAAACAAAAGCCTTTTATGTCCCGTGATCTGTTATGCTGAGAACTGTAATGGTTGTCACAACTGGATTCCCCTGTGCCCTCAGTTACAGGCCATCTGCTAATAATACAATGGTAATAATTTTGTTTACCCTTTGGTTTTGAAGTTGGGCTGTGGCTTAGGATCTGTTTGAAAATTTATGACCCTTCCTCCTGATTCTTGCTTTTAGAAATACTATGCTTTGACCATTCTATATCGACCGTGTACAGATTATTAAAAAAAAAAAAAAATTACATTTTTTCAGGTATTTCTTATAATCTTTCATTGTGGGTTTTTGACTTTGGTTTGTGTGTGTGGATTTGTTGTTTTTTAGCATTCCCAGCTCCTGTTAATGTGAAAAAGTGCTGTTTCTACACAGACCAGAAGAAGTACTGTCTGCCTAAAATAATGCTCAGTTACAACTGAGTATAGTTTGATCTTTGCAAAATATTTTAAAAGCAGAAGTAACATTTGGGGAAGCAATGAATCAGTAGTGTAATTCACTTATCTTTAAATATGATTCCCATTTTTCTTCATGACTTAGTCAACCAAGGGATGTTCTACATGCTTTCTTATGTATTATCCAAATGCAAAGTTAAGTGAGAGCAGAGGAGGACTTAGCACAGTCAGAAAACCCCCAGGAAAACGCAGATCCTCCTGGAAAATCTGCTAAGGCACATGGAAAATAAAGATTTTTGGTGACAGCCAACATGGCTTCCCTAAGGGCAGGTCATGCCTGACCAATCTGGTGGCCTTCTGCAACAAGGCTACAGAGATGGTGGATGGTGACAGAGCAACTGACGTCATCTACCTGGATTTGTGCAAGGCGTTTGACACTGTCCCACATGACATCCTGGTCTCCAAACTGACAAGGCATGGATTTGACAGATGGACCACTCGGTGGAGAAAAAATTGGCCGGATGGCCACACTTAGAGAGCTGTGGTCAGTGGCGCAATGTCCAAATGGAGGCAGGTGTCCCTCAGGGGTCAGTACTGGGACCAGTGCTGTTTAACATCTTTGCTGGAGATATGGACGGTGGGATTGAGTGTCTCCTCAGCAAGTTTGCTGATGATACTAAGCTGTGGTGTGGTTGACACCCTAGAGGGAAGGCATGCCATCCAGAGCTTGACAGGCTGGAGAGGTGGGCCAATGCCAACCTCATGAAGTTCAACAAGGCCAAGTGCAAGGTCCTGCACCTGGGTTGGCACAACCCCAGGCACAAATACAGGCTGGGGGAAGAATGGCTGGAGAGCAGTCCTAAGGAGAAAGACTGGGGGGTGGTAGTTGATGAGAAGCTCAACATGAGCCGCCAGTGTGTGCTGGAGCCCAGAGAGCAACTGCATCCTGGGCTGCATCAAAAGAAGTGTGGCCAGCAGGTCCAGGGAGGTGGTTCTGCCCCTCTGCTCTGCTCTGGTGAGACCACACCTGGAATACTGTGTACAGTTGGAGAGGGTCCAGAGAAGGGCCACCAAGATGATCAAAGGCCTGGAGCACCTCTGCTATGAAAACAGGCTAAGAGAGTTGGGGCTGTTCAGCCTAGAGAAGAGCAGGCTCTGGGGAGACCTTATAGTGGCCTTCCAGTACTGGAAAGGGGCCTGTAGGGAAGCCAGGGAGGGGCTTTTCATCAGAAAAGATAGTGATAGGACAACAGGTAATGGTTTTAAACTGAGAGGGGAGATTTAGGTTAGATATTAGGAAGAAACTCTTCATTGTGGGGGTGATGAGGAACTGGAATGGGTTGCCGAGGTAGGTGGTTGTTCTATCATCAATATAAAACTGGAGCCGAGGCTTCTGTTTCAAGCATTGTATTCTGCGCACTTTGAAGGGGAAACTGTGGCCATATCTATTAGTTACTCAAAAGTGATAATACTGATGAAATGTGGAGTTTATGTAGTTGCAAACAAATGCTCTAGTTTGATTAATAGGTCTGACTTATATATGCTGTATATGTGCTGTATATGGTCTCTATTTAGAAAGACATAACCATGAAGCAATTTTTTTCACTAGTGTATTTACTGTTGTTTGAGGGGTTTTTTTAAATACTCACCAAGAGTAAGTGCAAACTGAAGTTCAAGATGCACTGTATGTGATATGAATATATCCACTGTAAAGCCACATTTTTATCACAAATAGAACATGATAAAATATTAGGCTGTGCTAAATTATTCCATAAGTTTGTGCTCAGTATTGCATGTGAGTTTCAAAAAATCCTACATTTTAATGACTTGCAGAAATGACACACTACAGAACCCAGGAAAAGCAGTGGAAAAAACACTTGTCGCACCAATAGGCCCAAACAGATCCTTTAGGGAAGCACAACTTATTTACACTCTTGCAAGAATAGGTGACCTAAACAAGTAGGCACATCTGATAGTAATGTGGATAACTGTTTATATTCCCTATTCCAAACACAAGGTTCCTTCCCCTGTTTCCCCACTGGCTGGGTAGTCCAGGGTTTACAGCCCATCCAACGCTTCTAATTATCCTATAAGTTTCGAATCCCTGTTTACACATTCTATTCTAGGGGTTTACCTTTTAAGGTTTAATTCTGACCTTTCTTGCCCTCTTGGCTTGTCTTCCCAACCACCAAAATGATCTATACCATCTGGTGCCATCCTGTTCTGAGGAGCAATATAGAAGTGACTTGGTTCTGTCTTATTTGGGCCATAAATCCTGCTGCATGTACCTTGGAAGGTTCAGATATCTCACCTCCCCCAGTTACTATGGATGGAGCTCAATCAAGTCCCTCAGTTTCTTGGACCATAAATCACCCCATGTGTCCTTGGAGTGCCCAGATATCTTACTTTTCAGTCAACATAAAGTTAAGTTCTTCTGATTATGGCAGAAACAAACTATTATCTTCTTAATATTAGGGTGCAAAAACAACACTACATTTCTAACAACAGTAAGTTCATCTTTCAGAATTCACCATTGTTATTATTGTTATAGTTCTTATTCTGGCAAAAAAACCCTAAATAATAATAAGTACAGCATGGCATTTTAATTTTTTTTTTTTTTTTTTTTTCCCAAAAAAGAAAAATTATAGTTTTGAACTTTTTTAGCTTAGAAAAAAAATTTACAAAGGTACTTAATTAATTTAAGAAATTCAGCTTTCAGATTAAATCCAGTCAGATTGAGTTCTAAGTGATTATTTTCTTATCTTAATGGATTCATGTGTTTGTGAGAGGATTTGCAATTACAGATCACTGCTCGCAGAGAGAGAATCTCCCACTTTTGGAATGCCTCCAGGAATCAGTGCAATTTCACTACTTCCTACTAGTACCATGCTGGGTTTGTTTTTTTATTTTAATGCTGTTTTTTTTCAATCACTTCTAAAGAGCCCAGAGCTTTAAAGTCACTGTGTTACCTTTCTTTCTTAGAATACTGCTTCAATATATATTATTGATAAATGCCACTTTTGTGGATTAAATGTGACAGAATGTCACATGCCTTTTTTTTTTTTAATTTTTTTTTCTGTCTAAAAATGACTGAGTATTAATTTTCTCTGAAGTCTAGGTTTTAATGAAAATCTGTGAAACTTGAGTTGCATTGAAATTTCCAGACAGGAACCTGGAATTCTGTTACTGTCTGTTTTCAGCCTTAGACAGCCAGTGATAGTCAAAATAATAGTATAATCTAAAAGTACACAACTTTAGTATTTATAATTTAATTACATTTCAATCCACTCTCATCTTTTTAGTCAGCAATTAGAAATGTCACCAAATCTTTTAGATATTTGTGCTGCATATTAAATTAGGTGCTGTTAAATTAAGATATGTACTGGGGAGTCATGTATTTAAAAATGGTTAGTAAATTAGTGATTTCTCCCCTTTTGAATAGATGAGTGAAAATACAAATGATCTTGATGGGTATATAGTAGACTTAACAGTATAATACTTATTTTTAATATTAGATTTTAAAATGCTGACCTTGAACTTGACCTTTTCAAAACTTACATTAACTGTACATTTAAATCTTGTATGAAAAACAATAATCTAAAACTTCCCTAGAAAATGTATACAATTATTTTATCTTCTTTTATCTTAATTCTTTCTTCCTTGATACATAATGTTAGCTGTAAAACACCAGCATTTAAGATTTTACTTTTTAAAAAATGCTGCTTTTTAGTAAGACTTACTCTCCACGGTGGAAGAAAGCTGAGTGACAAAGGCAACATTCTTTTTGAAGAAGTTATTTCTTGTAAGAACTAAGAACTTGTAATGCTAAGAACTATTAAGACTTAATAGTATTTTTTTTTTTTATTGGTGAGAGAGTGCTGTACACAGAGTGCTGTACACAGAGTGCTGTAGCACAGCTATATTGTGCATTGAGATAAAGCAGATAGATGGTTTTACAATTGCTTTTAAATAGTAAAGTACCAAATAAAGGTTGAGTTTAGACTGGTTTTGCTAGCTGCACTGGCAAAGGAGAGAACATCTACACAGAATGTTATTTGTACTATCTGAATGCATCCATGCCACCGAGCAGTGTCTGGTGGTCTGGTGTGTTGGGAACAGGCTCCAGTCCCGTGATGGTTTGGCCATGTTTGTTGTTAGGCAGGCATGGCCCTAAGGTGCCTCTTCTGACACAGTACTAACTTACTTACACACAGTATTGACATCTGCTCAGTACCTTCACAAAATATCATCCCCATAGCTATTACAAAGTCACATATATCTGTATATATCTGTATATATCTGTATCTGTTTTTATCTTACTATTCTAAAGTGATGAAAACAATTTGGTGTAAATCATCTTCGGGGCCAGTCTATACCCTGTGTCCTCATCTGGGTGTTCATGCTCCATTCTTATTACATAGGCCCTTGCCCTCCCTTGTTTAATAAATTTTCCTCTGTTATTCACTTAGAATGAATTGCTGTCTTATATCAGTCTCAACTTCATTAGCATATTTAAACTTACGTAATCGTTTTATCTGTTAGTCACAGCATCTAAGTCTTTTGACTTTCAGCAAAAGTGTTTTAAAATATATATAATTTATATGTGGATGTTCTGACCTATGCTGTGGTGAGAACTACAGTAGACCCTGCACAAACAAAAGTCCATCTCAACGTTCACTCCACAGTTCTGTTTGCTTTGCTGTTTCAGATCTGGTAGAACAGATGTGAACGCCATTTCTAGGAGGCATATTGCATTGATTATGATTTTAGTGTATTCCTGTTGAGATATTCTGAAAATGTCTGTCCGGGATGTTTTTGGACTCCTATACAAGTCTGGGTCTGATGTGCCATGTTACAGGAGATGTTGGAAGGCTCCTCGTATAAGACGCACCCAGTGGTTCAGATGACACAAGAGGGCTTGCCTGTATGGGCTTTGCCTGCCATGATAAGAAGCTGTAAGGCACGCAGCTCTATGTTAAGAAACAAAAGCAGGAGATCCCAACTCTAATGAACCTCTACTGGAATATGAGTCTTGGAGAAAATGGAGCAAATCTATGGAAGCTCGTTGCCCAGTTTTCCTGAACTCCAGACCTACAAAACATATGTCTGCATCTCCTATGTTTTGTATGTCTTTGTCAGTAACTTAATCAAATATTTATAAATATAACTTGTTTAATTCAAATGGCTTTGTAGAAGAATGCATGAAATCATTATAAATGCTAGTTGGCCTTGTATAACATACCGAGGTTTAGCTGCATTGTTAAGATTTTTGGACGGCTCTAAAATCATCATCAACGGATCCAGTAAAGTGGTAAATTAGTACCAAATTTATCAAATAAAGCAGGAATTGGTTGCAAGAGAGATGATAATTTAATCTTATTTTTTTACAGAGTGTAGGGGAGGGTGAATTAGGCTAAGCCTAGTATCATTAGTATCTTCCTTAATGATGAACAAAAACGCTAGAGGTACAATGCTGAAATTTGCTTTTAATAAAAAATAGGGAGACACTGCTATTGCAGATTAGGCTAAGGATGTACTGCATGACCTGCAAATTGAACTAGTGAGACAGTGATGAGATCTTAATGCTGTACAACAAATCTGATATCAGTCCAAGAAACATGCTTAAACTGAAGTGGATTAAGAGAAAACTGAAAGAAATAACAAATATTCTATCTTGTAAATGGGCCTTGGAAACTTTGACTGTTGTTCATTCTAATAACAATCAAGAGAGGTAATCAACACTCTTGATAATTTTGAGTTAATTAATACACAAAGGAAAATCAAGTCAGATGATTTTTTTTACAGAAGAACAAATATATGTAAGCATTAATAAACAGATTGTGTAATGAAAAGGAGTTTTGCAGTCTTGGCACCAATGTACTGGGATAGTCTTTATATGGAAATAGTGGTGGTAAAAGAAAACTTTCTGAAACCGATTACCTTTATGAAAGTGATTATATGATGCCTTTGCCTAAAATAGCAGAACGACTTAATGACATGAGGTGTTTCTGTGTTCTTTATGTGAAGACAAATATTACTAGAATTGGTAATTTTACCTACAGAAAGTAAGTAGGTCAGAGCTTGCTATAGAAATTGCATGTAAGAGGAGAAACACATCTACTATCTACTATCAGTTCCACAATCTGTGAAAGGGTTCACATTTCCTTTAAAAGAAGTGCTACTTTACATTATGCCAAATAAGCTTTAAAATTCACTTACTTTTTAAAAAAAGTTTCATTCATATGCGGGAAACTAATTTTACTGAAACAACTCTGCTTTTGAAGTGCCAGTCTTTTGAGGAATAGGCTTTCTAAGTTCATAAGAAAAGGCTATTCAAGAGAATTCTGACATACAAAAGGCTTTATGATTTATGGAAGCTGGGGTTTATGAGGCCATACATTATCAGAATAAATGGTGGTCTTGTTCTTCTGTATTTTCCTAGTTCCTCAGGCTTAGAATGGAAAGAGTGAATTCGTGAGATTGTCTGGCCATGGGAAGGAGAAGATGCCTGCTCCAAGGGTGCCAGTGCTGGCAGCAAGATCAATGGATCTCTTCTATTCCAGGAGACATGGAGGTCTATTTGTGGTTGGAGCTACCTGACTAGATAAAGTATAGATCAGTCTGCTATGAAAGTACCTCCCATGAAGAAGACTGCCTGATGGCTTAGTTTGCTCTGAATGTATCATGTTACCAGATAAGCCTTTTCATGAAATTGAAAACCTAAACCAATCTTTTTCTGGTTTCTGCGTTTGGCTTTGAATTAATTATCCCCTTCTTTGTCAATTCAGGTGGGCCATTATCTGTTGCTAATTTTGATTTGAATTGTGGAGCAGAATCCTGCAGTCAAAAAACCTTGGAGTGTTTTCTTAAGCTTTAAAATAGACAATCTTGAGTCAAATTTACAGTAAGGGCAGACTATACATCTGTAAATAGCACTTTAAATAGGTGTAAATCGAATGTACTCATGTTTAAAGTTTCTTTATGTTGTCAAAGTGAAGTAAAATATTTTCATGTAAAAATAGTGAAGCCAAATTTACCATGCAAACAATGCACCTCAACATAGTGAATTTCACCAGAAAAACTTGGCTGCTGAAACGGAGAATGCACTGGCTTAAACTTAAATCAGTTCTGAACACAGTTCATTTAATGTCACTGTAAATGAAGCTCGCAGTTTGCAGCATAAGCTCCAAGCAAACATGCAGCTTCGTAGGGAAACTAAAGGACAGATAAAGCCAGTATCAACTGACAACATTCAGAGTTGCATTGTCACCAAACCATTTCTAAATGACCCCGTTTGGTAAGCCCTAGCAATCCTGTGATTTGGCCAGGCTGTTGGTGTTTGTATTCCGTTGTTTTAGTCCTGAATGCCCAATGGGAATCCACTTACCAAGTAATCGAGTAGCCTGTATCTCCCTTTCACTGTAAACTGAAAGCATTGGTCTGCTCTGAGTTTGGGGGTTTGTAGTATACAGATGAGCCTTTTGGAATCTAAAAATATGTAACAAAGTTTTCCATCTTCGTTTTACATCAAATTGCAAGAGTTTGGGTTTTTTTCAGGGTAAGCCGAGGTCTAGTCTTTCTCATAAATGACCATTAAAAATTTTACCACACCTAAGTGTGCTTCCTGTGGACTTTATTGAAAAAAATGCTACAGGTGAGTACTATTTGTAGAGCTGTTCTCTGATACATGTCAGATATTTTACTTTTCAAAGTATGCTATGTGTATGTATTTTGCAAAGTATTAATATAAATTTAAATTCAGTGTAAAAGTCACTTATACACAAACTGAGAACTGTGCATAGGAGTTAGAAACCAAATTAAATGCTGGGAATTTGTTTGTTTGTTTGTTTAATGGTACATTATTTAAAAAAAATACTAAGACTGTAAAAACAATTACTTTTTTTTCCATTTTAGTTTCAGGAGTAGATTGAAGAAACTATGGCAAATCAGCGGGATTACATTAGGAGACCTATTTGCAATGGAATTTCTGTTCCTGAAAACAAAATCAATTCCTTAGTGGCTGAAGGTCATGGACAACAAATTTTAAAAGTACTACAAAAGTTCAGAGAACAAAATATATTTTTTGACTTTAAAATTCTTGTGAAAGATGAAATCATTCCTTGTCATCGTTGTGTACTGGCAGCATGCAGTGATTTTTTCAGGTAAACCTAATTTTGGCATGAGTTTGCAAGAAATGGATTGTAAGTTCTCTGGGAGGGAGGGAAAGAATATAATTATATAAGTTAAAAAAATAAGCCATCACAACTGACATATGTCTGCAGACTTTTGAGGGAAGTGTTCAAACATCATATTAAGGATAGCAAAAAAACCCAACCCAACAACAAAAACAAATCCGAAGCAAAACTACAGTGTTAGATGCTTAACCATACCCCAAATACATCTCTTTGTATTTCCAAAGGCACATGAAGACTCTGAATTTGAGATTCAGATGGCAGTCTATACTCTTGAAATATAAATGTCAAACCATAAGTACATGGTTTTGCTGTTAGGTAGAATCAATACAAGATTTATATCTTTATCTGTTGCCTGTATCTGTACTGGAAAGTCTGTAAGGTTGGTTTGTCTTTGTATGGGACAGTCTCTGAAATTTGACACATTTATATTGTGAAACATAGAAGGCTGATTACAAATACATCTTGCGTTCAGCAACTGTGGATAACTTGTACATGGTTTTGGAATGGGGCTGGATTTTCTTTCTCTAAGATGAGTGGTCAGTATAGCAGTTTGTCTTCAGAGGTATTTAAACAGATGTATTTTTTCTAAATTACAGTTTTCAGCCTTCCAGCATGAAATGGATCTCTGATCTTCCTTCTGGTGCTATACATTCTTAAGGGACAGACAGATCATTTGCATGCAGGTTATTAATTTATGAAGAACCTTGCTAACTTTTTTATTATTAAGATTGAAACTTGCAAGTCTACACTGAAAGTCCATTTCCAAATACACTCTTTAGTAAAACATAAATTTAAGGTGCTCTAATGATGGAAAAATAGGCTCCTGGAAATGAGTTAATGAGCTTGATTTGGTTGCTCATACGTAGGTGACAACTGATATTTTCAAATAGCCTGTAGCATCCTATGGTATGTGGGAATCTGCCATATGTTGCAGAGCACACAGGCCAGATGTGTTCTTAGGACTACTGAAAAAACAAGTGCAAGTGAAATAAAACAAGTTATTTCTCCTATCGCAGCGGATTAATTTTTTTGCTCTGACACACAGAACTACTTGCATTTCAAGTTTTTACTGCTTGACAGGATAGAGATGCTCTGGTAGGAAAGGGATATTAGATGAAATAGCTTAGAGTGGTAATTTTTAGAACTTAAGCACATGGTAACATATGTGGCCTTTTCACTGCCTAATGGCTCTTCAGGTTAGTTGCCAAGAGAGACCTCTCCTTGTGTGTAACCACTGGTAACAGCAGCCATCAAATTTATAACTTCTCTTGGAATGTAAGGCCCATTTGTTACTTTCAGGAAATAAACAGTATCTAGGTCCATGAGCTAAATGTTAAGCACCTTTTGTCTCCTTGGCCTTTGGATTTCTTTCAGTTTTGGTTCCATTGTGTAAACTCAAGATTGGGCAACATTTTGCTCCCAACTCATTAGCTTTCAGAATCAAAGCTTTTGCCTAGATTGCTCTATTTATATAGATAGATATTTATGGTATATTTATAATCCAGATTATACACTTAATATTTGATGATTTGTCAAATTTTTCTCCACTATCATGTTTTGCCAAATTTGGAAGCTGTTGCTATCACAGCCTGATGATTGAGCTCTGGGAGGGTAGGGCAAGTGATGTTGCAGCACTATACTGTTGCCAGCACTTACTGGCTTGAGAACATTATTTTTTCATGCCATGTTAGATTGTGTGAAATAATTAAAAATTACTACGTATAAAGCAGTCAAAATTTGAATAAAATTTGCACAAATCTACTAATTAATATTTGTTCCATGATTTCCACTATCATCTTTGTATTCAGTCACAATCTACTTTCTGTACAAGTTTCATTGCATCATCCAACCCTATGTCAAAACCTCATTTTCTCTGATGTCTGTCTGTACCCATACGTCTGTCAATTCTTAAGCAAGAATTATGTTTCCTCATATTTCTTCTCCTTATTCACCCCTCACCCACTTTTATTACAGAGGAATGCACCCATCATCCATCCTGCCATTTGCTCCGCCTGCAATTTGGAAGGCCTTTTTTCCAGTTTATTTTCTGTATTCATCCACAGTGCATATCTAAACCATGGGGCATTTTTACTATATATTTCTTAAATCAGCCTTTCTTTCTCAAACTATTGAAACTGATGGTGCCCCTAACAATTTCTTAATTTTTATGAACAGTGAGAGCTGTAGACTTCTCTTTTTGTGAAAATCCATACAAAATACAGGTGCTGCTATAATTTTTGTGAGCCCTCACTTTGAACAAGTTCTTATCACCACTTCCTTTTTCTTCAATCATATCAAGTAAATATATTGTTCTTACATATGAGAACCTCAGTCTTTCAGGTCTGTACAGCCTGCCCAGCTTACTATATGCCCCTGATTGTCTCCTTGCTCTCTCATCAGTATTCTCTGCTGCTTGCTAGATCTTTAATTTGTGTGCATATCTTCTATATTTTATTCACAGAGCCATGTTTGAAGTTAATATGAAAGAACGAGATGATGGCAATGTTACTATTAGTAATCTGTCACCCAAGGCTGTGAAAGCATTTCTTGATTATGCTTATACAGGAAAAACAGAAATAACAAATGATAACGTGGAAATGCTCTTCCAACTGTCATCATTTCTTCAAGTTTCACTCCTTTCCAAAGCTTGCAGTGACTTTCTAATAAAAAGTATTGATCTTGTGAATTGCTTACAGTTGCTTTCTCTATCAGAAAGTTATGGTTCTGTCCGTTTATTTGATCATGCACTAGATTTTGTACAGCACCACTTCTCCTTGCTCCTCAAATCAAGTGATTTTTTGGAGATGAATTTTGAGATACTACAAAAATGTCTTGAGGCTGATGAACTAAATGTCCCTGAGGAAGAATCAGTGTTGAAAGCTGTTCTTCAGTGGACCAAACATAACTTAGAAACACGACAGAAATACCTGCCTAATTTGATGAAAAAAGTGAGACTGCACCAGTTACCTGAAAAGACTTTGCAGGAATTTCTACATTCTGAAGAACACTTACTTAAGACTGCTGATTGCTCAGTAATAATCGATGATGCAGTTAAAAGTGTGCAAAACTTTAGTGGGCTGTTTCCAGACGCACGTCCTTCAACAACAGAAAAATATATATTCGTTCATAAAACTGATGAAGATGGAGAAAACAAACATACATTCTGCTACAACATCAAAACAGATACATGGAAAGAACTACCACACACACACATGATTGATCTCCCAGGGTCAAGTTTATCTAGCTATGGAGAAAAAATATTTATAACTGGAGGATGCAAAGGGAATTGTTATAGGACTGTCAGGCTTCATATTGCTGAACCATTTCATGATGCCACTGACCAAACCTGGTGCTACTGTCCAGTCAGCAATGAATTCTCCATAGTGTCAGCTATGAAAAAACCAAGGACAATGCACACATCTGTTGTAACCCTAAACCAGCTGTTTGTAATAGGTGGAAAGACCAAAGGAGCTCAAGAAACCCGAAGTCTTTTGGACGTAGAATCCTATAATCCTCTTTCCAAAGACTGGAAGTCTGTTAGCCAATTACCAAGAGGTATCTACTATCCAGAAGCAAGTGCATGTCAGAATATAATTTACGTCCTTGGCTCAGAAGTAGAGATTACTGATGCCTTTAATCCATCTCTTGACTGTTTCTTTAAGTACAATGCTATGACTGATCAGTGGTCTGAGCTTGTAGCAGAATTTGGGCAATTTTTCCATGCAACTCTAATAAAAGCTGTTCCAGTGAACTGTACATTGTACATATGTGACCTCTCCACCTACAAGGTCTACAGTTTTTGCCCAGAAACTTGTGTTTGGAAAGGGGAAGGATCTTTTGAATGTGCTGGCTTTAATGCAGGGGCAGTTGGGACAGAAGACAAAATTTATATATTAGGTGGTGATTATGCTCCAGAAGAAATCACAGATGAAGTTCAAGTCTACCATAGCAGTAGGTCTGAGTGGGAGGAAGTTTCACCAATGCCAAGAGCCTTAACTGAATTTTATTGTCAGGTCATTCAGTTCAATAAATATAGGGACCCTTGGTCATCTGTACTTACAATTTGCTCTGGAGAGTTTTGAAACTCCTGAGTCAAAAGAATTTATTTAAATGCACAAGCTTTAGAACAGCTTTTTAGGTTAATTAATTAATTTACAGATGGAAAAATATGTACTGCTTTGAATAAATCTTCAATTTAAGGTGTATGCTATATAGAATTGCTTTTGGAAGACTCCATTAAATTGTCATCCACGCTAGTCATCATATAGAAAGGATTACTTAATTTTATATGCAAGTCTTCTCTGTAATTATCTGAATAATTTGCAAAATGATACTACTTTTCAAAAAAGCATAGTCATGAAGAATTCATTATGTAATATGCGCCATTATTTCTGTAATATTCACAGCTGTCCCAGTTGACAAATTGCTGAGTGAGAAAATGGACTGTGATACTGTTTTCCCAATGTAACTGAAGTTTAAAAGAAATCTACATTAATGTTGTTTTATTTAGGGTTTTTTAATATTCATAAACCTGTAAGAAGATTTCATTGTCAGCTTTATTTTATCAGAAAGACCTTAGCAAGGGCAAGAGCCAAAGTGACCTTCACAGCGTTAAAACCAGGTATCTAACTTGAAGAGACTGATAATTCCTATCATCTTCCTTCAGCTCTTCATTTCTACTAGTTTTTCTCCATCCTTGTGCCTTAGTACTAGCTGTACTTTCTGTTTGCATCCCATTAATTGTGGCAAGATAAACTTTGACAACATAGTGCAAGATGGGGTAGATTTCTACAGGGTGGATGGTTAATGGGGTATCTTTGACTCAGACATGCTGTTAGGTGAAGATCAGGATGTTTTTTTTAAGAGAATTCTTCCATCTCTCAATTCTCCAGAGCTACCCACTAAGCAGCCACTAGGCTGCTTACAGCAGCAAGCTGTAAAATAAATTCTAGTTACTGCTTTGGTTAACTACAGGAAAAGTCCATATCTTGTCGTACATCAAATACAAAGTTACAAAAATAAATCCCTATATTTAAAGTTGAAGTAAACAGTATTTCCAAAGTGAAACAATTCCTTTTTAAAAAACTTCTATAGAGGTTCAAATAAATAAAACCACTTTCATATTGTACTTTATGGTAATTTTAAGTGTTAAAATATTACCTGGTAAACACTACACATTATATTGCTTGATAAACCTTCAGTAGTCATCTATTATAATGTTAAAATTGTAATGAACTTTTAGAATTAATTAGTCTAGGCATAACTTGTGAAGTAAATTTGATCTCGTGCACACAAAGTGTCTGAAAGGACACTGACATTAGTTAGGTTTCATAAATTCATTCATAATCTTCCGTAGCCTGAGAATTTTATTTCTTGAATAATATATTGGGAGCCCTTGTGTTCCATGAAGTATCGTTTAAGCAGCAAGGTTGTCTTATGCCAAAATAAATGGTTCTAAACATCTAAGCACATCTTTTCCAAGTAGTTTTAAAATGAACAAAACGTAGTGAGGTGTCTAAAACATCTTTCACATGGCTTGAGATGACTGCAGTTAACTTAATTATCACATCACTACTGCATGTACTTTTTGCAAAACTCAAGCTCAATGCTTATAACTTATTGTCTAGCAACATACTTTGGTTTTAAACATAAAACAATGGAAAGCTCAAATTCTGTAATGATTAATGTTATCTAGATAATTCCCTGTTATCTGTTATCAGATACTTTTACAAATTTAGATAACATTAATCATAAATATTTTCATACCGATGTAAATGAAAGCTATGCATATTTGGAGAACATACTAGTAGAGTGGAACCCTCCCACTCAGTAATTTATTGGTATTAAGGCATGTAAGTTCTGTAGAAGTAAATAGCTTGTTATTATAGTATTTTGGGCAACTTCCACATTTATTGTCTTCTTATCAGTGAATCTCCAAATTATAACTACACTTAGGCAGGTAACCTTTACAATCACCACACTGAAATGCATTTTTATATTGGAGCACAACTTCTTTTTGTTAGTGCAAAGGTATTGAATAGTTTAGGAGACATGGAGAATACTATTCCTGCTTACTGAAACAGTAGGATAAAAACAAGTAGACATATAGGAGAACGTAGTTTTAGCATTAATAAGGCTACTCATGGTAGCATAGAAACTTCATTAATCACTAATTATTGCAACTTGTCACTTCATCAGAAATACAATGCCCAATTCTCTGCTTTTGTTTTTGTGGGTTTTTTTATGCCTGAGTAATATGAGTATACAATTTATGCAACAAGGCAAGCAACATATTATGCCCACAGTGCATGGGTATAAATAGCTATGCAAATTGGAAGAGACAGACTTGCAAGGTTTTTTTCATTGCCTCTGTCACGACCAAATTGCTGGGTCACAGAAATAGCAAGCAAGTCAGTAATTCAGGTGACACTCTTGCCTCATAATTTTTTCCTTACAGCAAGTTTTTTTTGGCAGTCTTCCATCCAGCTGCTTGCTATATGTATAAGCCTCTGGCATATGACAAAAGATAGAGCAATGCCATATGCAGTAGATTACTTATTATTAGTATGTATAGTGAAACCTGAAGCTTAATTTGGAAATCAGACATGCTTCTTTAATATTGAATGCTACATTTGCACAGGGACTAATGTCAGTTCCCAGTTTGACAATTCATGGATTTCAAATGGAGTTGAGCTCTCTTACTCAGTGATCAGGAAATAATGTAGTAGTGTCAGTTACTTTACACCACTGCTTACAGAAAAACAACTGTGAAAATAGTAGGAATTTTCTTTAGTTATGTAGGTAACCCTGTACTACGAGTGTCACAGAGGAAAAAAGAGGGAAAAAAAAGGTCATTTGCCAAAAGTCCACATACAGAGAGTTAAATCTGAAAGCAGAGTTGAGTGCAGATGAAGCCATGTTAGAAATCATGGCTAAAACCAAGGCTTTATGGTAGAACTAAGAGCCTATGTTCCAAATCCTGTAATTAATCGCTAATGATGTACGAAATCTCAGTTGGCTGCACTACTCAGAAGAATATGGATTACTTGCATGAGTAACTGCTGTAGGTCTGGATCAAATAGATTTTTCAGTCTACTTTATGCAGCTGCTACGCAATTTTTTTAGAAGTCATAAACTTAGTGTGAAGCAAGTTATTCTACATCTTTTCTGACTTTTCAAAGTTCACAGTACTTTATGAAAAAGTACCTTCCTCTAAAAATAGTCTATGACTAGATTATTGTCTATGTTCTCACTAAAATATAAGTTTAAAACATACAAATTGCATGTAAAGTTATAATCTACAATTTGCACTTAAACAATGTAACCAAAACATTTCTAATAGTATTCTATGTCACAGAACACATTATAAGCATGACCAGTGTAATATACATGAATATATATTGTATGTCGGATTTTAATAGCCAGTAATTACTATATTGGATAATCTTAATTTTTAAAGAATGCTATCAAAACATTATAGCACTTTGGTAATGCCACCATACTGATTTAGTTGTTATACTAAATATAAATTATTCAGGTGTTTATATTGATTATGTTTGCACAGACCTGATGGTTATTATTTATGTACTAATGAATTTATTTTCTATATTCTAAACACATTTGTTGTCAGTCTACTGCTGTTAAAAATTCATTTTATTTGCAAATTGGAGTAGACTTACTGGGTCAGATTTACTTCTGGTATTACTCCATGAAGAAAGCTGTATAACTCCTCTGGTTAGTAGTAGGTGGTAAGTAAGGTATAGGCTACAGAATGTGCTGTCTGCAGTTTCAAATATGTAGTCTGATTTTAGATGTTTCTATGTGTAGGTGACCAACAGGAGGCAGCATCAGATCTATTTTAATTAAAATAGACTGAAACCAGGGATAGATTTGACAGTATTTATAGCCAAACATTATGCTCGATTTACTTTTTCCCTTCTAACACTCCGTAAAACATACAGATCAGTAACATTTTGCTGCTGCCTGGCTCTCCTGATATGTGGAAAGTATGATACATGTTTGCTGAGATGTTCATTCTTCTGTGAAATAAAAGCATCAAGCAACTGAATCCTACTCGGGACTGATTCTTTTCAGGGAGTTTCAAAATAGAATCTACAGTGTTTCTCATGAGGTAAAATACTTTTTTTTTTTTTTCCCCCCCTTTCTTTCAGCAACTAGAGAACATTTTCAATGTTAGATTATAACCAAGAATATATTAGCATGCATGAAAACTGCCGTGAGAGGGGCTAATTATCCTTGGACCTTGTATGTGCATATCCTTTGTATATCAATTTGATGTTCCCACACTGAATTTGATTTAGTGTGCTGAAAAGCTGTAAAGTACTCATTTAAATTCATATCTTGTCCCATTGGATCTGCTTACCTCAGACTAATATGTAGGGGGTTTCTTAACCATTTAAGTATCACAAATTATTAAGTATTTATTTTTACTGAAATGGGCTTCCCTACTACTTAGGAGTGGCTTTAAATAAAAGGAGATATAAGCTTACACTTAGCATAAAATTTATGAGCAGAAATGGCAGTAATACCAAGTGAGGGAGCCCTGTGTTGTCTTCTTCCAGAATTCAAAATTCTATAACCTCCAAATCTCTGTAGATAAAAGAGAGCTACAGCAATAAAAATTAACCTTCTGACACTCCAAGACCTTTGCCCCTCAGCTAGCAAGAGCTACCTGGAGACATGCACAAACTGTTCCAACAGTGTTCACAATGTTAAAAGCTTTTACTGAACAATAATAGGATTCACAGACCAAATGTAAGAGCTGTAGTTTGGTAGCACAACCAGAAGAAAACTGTGTATATTTGTTCTAGAGATCCAGGGAATTCACCATGGACTTGCACAGTTTGTATCTGAAGGGTATTTGGGGTGGGGGGGGGGGGTGACTTGTTGGTGTATGAAGCTTGTTTCTCATAGTGATAAAAAGCATGGAAGCAGATTCTAGATTTGATTAATAAATTACATATTATTATTACATATACATCACACATAAATTCAAGACAATTCACATGAATTAAGGAGGTCTGAGGATTTTTGTTGCAAGAATTTGGTGTACACCACGATTTTTCACCTATAATGAATAGCCTCTTAACAATAGGGGGAGAAAGTAGAGCTATTTAGAATTACAGGCATAGCTACTCTAGGAAATCACATGCTTCCTCGTTCAACTTATTCTAATGCACACTAATCATATTCATTGGTTTTGTGCTTTACAATAAAAGAATACTCAATGAGGTATAATTAGCACTGATTATTTTTGCAGACTGGCAGAGGCTCAGACTGCTAATGACTTTCACTCTTGATCATTTTTACACCTGCT